GATTTATCCAGTGGGCCTCCGGCACATCGGTGGGTAGTAAGATGGAGAGAACGAAGTTGGTAGAGTGTCCAGTGGTGGAGAGAATGCCACGACGCACCGATGTTTTGTACACAGGACAGGAATACTTCGCCTCCGTCACCACATTCTCCAGCCGCTTCGGCACCAACCAGATCTGCGACAAAGCAAACGGTCAAACAGTTGCAACAACTTCTACGTATTCTGTGACGATTACATTTTCGGTAATCAATTGGGAACCTGGCAGCAGGAGTTTCAACCTCACGAATAATATTTTAACAACACCTCCAGTAGAAGTGTTGGTTTACTTAAAAATCTGAGAAGTTAAAAAGGTTTTTAGGTCACGTTGTCTGCTGTGAAAATTCACCACGATATCCAAATTCGGACGTGTTTGCATTGATGACAAAAAGACACGGGAATCATAAATTAAGGGCAACATCACTATTCCTCACTATATCAACTCACTACAGGCATGGCATCAAAGAGGACCTTCGTTTTCGACTCCACCACAACTCCAGCCTCCGAATCCCACCTCGCGCCGTCCATAAAGAGGCCCGTGATAAAAGCACCATTATCAGGTTTGGTCAGTCCATGGAAGGTGTTGCGTCGCTGTGGTACGCCAAAGGTAGTATCAGGTTGTGCCTGCTCGCGTGCTGCTTCCTCGTTCGATTCTGCAGCCTCTGCATGGGCCGAGGTGGCGGGGGGCTCGAGAACGCTAGTGATGTAGACACGCTTCATTTCAAAGTCGAAGCCGACCATGTCAATGGGAATTGTGTACTTGCGCGCAAAGTTCTGCAGCACGCCGGTAAGGAAGGACTGTGTGAAGTAGAAGCCCGAGATCCAAAACACTGGTGGTGAGTCGAAGGTGATCCATTCGTTGAAGAAGTTCAGTCTATTTCCGTTGTTTGAAGGCATGAAAAATATGCCGTGTAAGGAAAATGAATTTAAATCCGATAAATAGGTGAGTGGATCTTTAAGCCTTTCAACAATTCTTTAGTATGTAGAAAGGCCGAGTTGGTGAAATTTAATTCACGTCAGTGAATTTTTCCAACCTGGAACCTCACTCACTTTGTCATTGCTCAAAGTCATATAATATGGCTTCCTACTACCTTTACATACGGGGTCCAACTGACCATCTACCGCCGAGTCCAGACGAACTCATATTTCTTCAATGAATGCGTTAAAACCAAATTAAACACCTTCTGTAAATATCAATTCGAAATAAGGAGAAATCACACCTAATTAAGTGATTGGTTAAGCTAACCTTGCTAGTAAATCAACTACATAGCTCCCAAGGGGTTTCAGTGAGGGATATGACTTGGCAGCCCAGACAGCGGGCACCTTGCCCACAAGCATGGAGGCATACACTTCCTCCAACTCCGCCGACATCACCACGAGGCCCTCAATGGCACGCAAGAGGCTCTGCAGACTGCTGCGCACCACCGCAGTGAGGGTATTGAAGCGGATCAACTCCTGCCGCAGCACAGTGTTCATGGACTCCGTGTAGACCACAGGATAGCGTTTCATCACTGTGTACAAGTCAAAATCCTCAGCTGGCAGCTTGTTCAGGATGTCCAATGCCAAATCACTGACTGTCGTCTCCGCGGACTTCTCGCCACCGCCTGATTCCCGCGGCAGCGTCAGCAAGATGGCGTCGAAAAGCTAGATGCAGATAGCTGAGTTTGATCCTACTGCTTAAATCTGTTGAGAGAAACTTTTGGCAACGAAGTGGATGCTATATTGATAAATCTATTGCTGTAGGAGAGCTTATTGGCCAATTCTTTACCTGGTGTGTAAGTACCACTACTTCGTTGAGCTAACAATACGGAGAGCAGGATCTAACAGCACAGTCGCGACAATTTTTCATAATTACCAAGACAAACCAAGGGCAGGGAAACAGGTCTTCATTGAATGTACTTATGCATTCAAATAGACACTTGGGATTATGGGAAAACACATCCTATTTGGTTGCATGAAAGCTATGATAAAGTGAATCGCTGGCCTTAAAGAACGAAAAGATAGTGAAATGTGTGTGATTCCTAGGGTAAGCTTTGGAGTCAGTCATAACACGCAAGTAGTGTGACAATAATTTTACACTGATTTTTCTGTTACGAGCGTTAAAATATCGAAGAAGTATTCAAACAATCTATTAAAGCGTTCTAATTGCCTGAGTGGTTTCCTGATTGTCCTTTGTAATGTCGGCGTTATCGTGGAGTCCATACACTTCAGGACTCGGCAGACTCGGAAGAGTTCGAATGAATTCCAGGTAACTCTCATAGTTCCCTTCCGGAGGAACCGTGTACAATCCTGATGGTGAGAGACTAGAAAATGACGTGGGTCGTCAAGTAATGCATAGACATATATAACAGAAACATTGAGTTACAAAATGAATGATCAACTCGTCGAGACAATTTATGATGTATTCCATGGGAACACCAAGGGTACTTTTTATAATTCGGGGTAAAACAAACGAAAAGAAAGTTCGTTATAGAGGAAGGGAAAGATAAGAAGTGTGGTGTTATCCATTTCCTACTCATTAAAAAAAACGACATAATCTATCTTCGCCACCAGTCACTGATTGGCCAAAGGAACAAGACATTACCTGTAGTTGTCTTGCGTCACAAGATCATGGTTGTAGAAGATGTTCAATAGGGAGACCAGACATCTGCGGTCGTTTTCATCCGTCACCCTGCCACCGTAGTTGCACTCCCCTGTGAGGTACTTCAGTGCGTCCAGTGGGAGGTCGTCGTAGTCGTTGAGAAACATCTGCAATGAAGGAATCACATGTGTGGGGCGCTTAATTACCTCTCCAAACCAAACAATTAGTTAAGATGAGAAGTTGTACGATTTCGCTTTCTTCCATTTTTATCTACCATCCCATCTTTCAACTTGGCATCCGTCCGGCTCTACTTGACGATCTGCTAATCTATCTTGGTAGCTTAAAAGTTCTGTCTATCTTAATTAGGCCCAGCTAAATCCACATTAAACTAGGTGTGTATACGAGCATTCTCAATGCATAAAACAAACTAAGCCATTTATCCATTAGTTCATCAACTTGGCGATCTTCTTTTCCTGATACTTCTGTCAACTCCGATATACTCCATCCAGCTCTACTTCAGTGGTTAATCACCAAATCAGTTAGGTGACTTAAAATTTATTAATCCACCCTCAACTCCTTCACTTATCCTTCAACTTTTAAAACATCCATCTAGGTCCATTTATTCCGTTATTTCAATCATTTAATCACCTTCGATCCAAAGATTTCCGATCTGCTCGTTTATCTATTCAACAGACTAGACATTCTTCAATCCCTGGATTCATTCACGCGACAACTCAAATTCGATTTATTTTTTCAGCCTAAACAGATTCCTACTCCTTGGATTCACATCTTCATCCGTCCAGGAGAACATTTCTCCATAATTCTACTCACAAGCCCAACCATCATTTTGCAAACTTATCCTGACTTCATCTTTTCTTTAAATATTTGTCCATCTATATTCAACCAATCAATCCCCCAATTCCTACTTGACTACTTCTTTCATCTCTACTTTGCCATCCGTTAGGTTTTATACACGCCCTTCTGTTAGTTTGATGTGGTGCTCATCCTTCATTTAACTGGATACTTGAAAAAGAGGCACAAGTAACATCATGGCGAATTCTAAAGAGGAATTGACAACGATAAAAAGAACTCCGTTAAGGGGAAAACACTTTGCAGAAATTTTTGATTCACTCTTAAAGCAATTGGAGAATCGGTAGTGCAGCTGACCTGAAGTTGGCGGACACTGATTCGCAGATCTGAGTCGTTGAATTGATAGGCGATATTCCATCCAAGCGAACCATACTTGACACGTTCTTGAACGAGGGCGTGGAAGAAGCACAGGCCATATACCATTTTGTGCCAAACTTGAAGCTGGTGATGGGAAGGAGAGGAAAAACTCAGTAATAACAAAAGAACTTAATTATTTTAAAATCCCTTTCACAGGCATTTGAGATAAAAAAGAAACTCCAGAACTAGCTAGCAGTGGATTTCGAGAAGCTCGAAGTGACTCTATCAGAGGTTTCTTCCATCAGCACATCTGCAGCAACTGTCACTATCTAGCAGTCAACTTAGGTGCACCTTAAAAAGGCTCCTCTTTGTTCATGTGGGGAAATATTCTTTCTTGATTCAGTTATGCTGGAGTTTCGAGAAATGAATGGAAAATGAGCAAAAGATGCTAAACTCTGGCAAATGGCCAAAAGGGGAATGATCCAGAATTACTTCTGATGGTTGACATCTTTGGTAACATTCGTAGGAAAAAAAATAGTGAAGGTCAAAAATAAGGAGGATTTTGGCGCAAAATACCTTATTGCAATTATTCCAAAAGGACATGTCAGAAATCGGATCTGTAGAATAGGAGCGTAGAAGATTCGAACGAAGACCTTTCGGCGGCTCGTTTGTCATTTTAATACCTAGAAGTAAGAAACTTTATGTCAGTTTTCCCAGATTTAATGAAAACTAAGGTAGACACCTCATTAAGCGAAACGTAGAAAAACCTTTCAGAGGTTTCTTCAATTGCATAGAATATATTTGTGCAGTTTGCAAATAAAAGTTACGCAAATGGCTTCAAAAAGTGAGGGAAAATGTTTTACCCAGTTAAGTGATTATCAGTACAACCTATTTTTCTTCGCCAACTGCACACCACCTTGTGAATTCCACTTTTGCAACTTTGTCTCCGCAAATAAACAACTTGGTTCAAACCATCTCCCTTTCTACCTCACCTTGATTTTCCAATTGCCTGTCTACTCTACTTCGCGTCTCATCACCTCTCTGTCTACGGCAAACGCCATTGAAAGGCGATAATTACTTCGAGTGTGAGAAATTGATAACAGCGGAATACTGAGGACGAGGACAAGGCAGTGTCTTTCCCTCCCCTCCCGCATCGTAGCCCGGCAAAAGATCGTGTACTGTCTTGCGAACACAAGAAAAACGAAGTTTCTCCCCACACCCTAAAGTTGTGTCTACTTGTGTCTGTCTACTCGCGTAGACAATTCTCTTGACGGGGTGTCACATGCACACACACACTTGCAAAGCAGGCGCAGTCACTCCTCCGAAAGCGAAGTGGTACGTGCCTTACAAGTGCGCGCGCCCTCGTGATTGGATAAGTCCGGGGTGGCCAATGATATGTTCGCTTGTTTGATGAAACGTGGAGTATAAAAGCCGCTGCGCACCACAAGTCAGTGATCGAGCGCTTGGTGTCATACACGCGCTGTTTTTGCGCCATATATGATATGATAGTCCCTTAGGCTTATTCCCATCTCCCTAAGGATATCTTCTGAGGAAGACTTCGGCTCGATTTCAACCACTACTCCCCTTAAAGTAGGATCAGATTGAATCATGCATAAAAGGCGGGTTTGCAGACTTTTTAGCGCATCAAATCTTACCCATGTAGTAACTGTATTTCCTTCATAGTGGACTCACCATTTTGGAGAATGGAGACGGGAAAGTCCTCAGAGGGGTATGACGTGAGCCACAGACGGAAATCAGTATGCGTCTTCTCTGGCACGATAACTTCATTACAGATCTTCTCTAGGTAGGGCATCCAACTGGCTGCCAAGTGGCAGTTCTGCAGCACTACCCAGGCGCCCTCTGTGATGCCCGTGTTGATGAGTCGCTCAGCCAGGGGTCCCTGGCCCTGACCCAGCGAAATTGTCTGTATGTCCGTAGGCCGGATGCCGCGGTCCGCTCCGAAGCGCATCAACGCGTTCAAAGGGTCTGCGCCCGGCGAAAGAACGAAAATGAGTGGAGTACAGCAATTGGAGTCCTTGTAACTGCCTGCCAGATCGAAAGCCGGTGGTTCTAGAAATTGGCGACCCATATGCCGCTCTATGAAGTCCTGAAATGGAATAATTGAACAGAATATTAATAAGCTCATGTTTGCTTGATGAACAGAGCTTGAGGGGAGCATATAAGGGATAAATAATTTACCAGACCAACAACTTTGTTGATAATTCCGCTGAACATGCGAAAACATGGCCCTTTGTTTCAGTTCGCTTTAGTCATACGCCTGACAAGCTGATGATCTTGAAGTTTGAGAGGAAAAGATGGTTACGGAACTCGTACGCAACTTGCTCCAAGCATTAATTATGTTCTTTTGCCTCCACAAAGAGGGTACTAAGGGCGCAAATTACCCCCTATTGGGAATATTTGGATAGGGTTTTTTCCTTTTGGAATTATATGTGCTCCACAACTTTAAAAAAATTTCAGATTTCTCCATGGTTTAATGAAAACCTAGAACCCTTGGACGCAGGCGACAGTGAAACGCATGCAAAGTTTTGCGAAGCAAACACAGGTGCAAAAGATTTTGCTCCTTGAAATTCGGACGCTCTGACAACAGGGGGATCACGCTGGCGGTAACCCATGAAGTGTCCATCTTACCTGCACGGCAGGGATAACCTTGTCTGAGCGAAGGCAGCGCACGAGGATGAGCCTACACATGTCCGGGGTCTTTTCAAAGGGAGCCGGGAAGGCGGCTTCGTGTGGCGCTGGACTATCGTACACCGCCTTCCACCGATTTGGATCACTTTTCACACCTTCATTGGGGAGAAAAACGTTTTTTTCCGTCAAAATGGTGGTGGTTAGCCGAGTTTTGAAACAGAAACGATTAGGGAATTATCGCCCAAAACAGAGACCATTTGCCTTAAAAAGTCCTTCGAGACTTCTGATTACGGAATTATCAAATTATTCATTTTTGCAGTAACTTCCTAAAAACATGCCATTTACACAAATTCGATGAAGCCCAGACTGATTTTGAAAATCCGTCATCCCTTTTCGTCTGTTCCAATGAACTTACTTTTCATGAGGCCTTCGAGAGTGGGTAGATCACTGGCTCGCACAATTTCCGACCAACTTTTCTCACTGAGCCATGCCGGTGCAGGATTTGGATGCGGATTCTCAAGAGCCACCCCACCAGTGAGGAAGAATCGCCAATAAATGTCCTCCACCTCGCCTCTACCAGTGGAAGGGAACAGGCACATCACTGCATATTCACGAGCGCGTGCGCTGGCTGCGTACGCAATGATTCGTGGATCTGGTGGATAAACTGCAATGGTGATCCTACAGACACGTCTTGCGAAAATTGGAATACAGTGAAGTTGAGGTGGCTACCAAAAAATTCCAAAAATTTTGCTTTAATTCATGCTTCCGTTGTTTGTAACCTTCGGTGTAAAGGTAGTGAAATAAATTACAGCCGGACTCGTGATACAATCAGTAGTATAAGTGTGTTGGATGTGTGCCAAACCGGCCACGGCCCAGATTGAAGTGGCTAGCTCAAAGGCAAGTCAAAGTGACTGTCAATGAATGACAAACGAAAATGCATTCACTTCAACTTATTTTATGGAATTATACCCGCTACAAAAGGTCTTCTAGTAAATTTAAGACATTTCTGAGGTGGGGTAACACGTCGGAAACATCATCGTGTGCTGTTTTTAGGATATCAGCCTACCTCGCTTTCATTAATGCGACACACATGATTAGGGAGAAAAGCAGCTTCGTTCTCTCGAACAGGGAACGGCAGACATTGCGATAGATGACTTTGGTAAAATTCTCATTCAAATTCTTGATCCGTGTCTCCAAATCATCAGACAGTTCACTGGACTTGATCGACTACCAAAATAAACACTATTACTTGCATAAAGTCATTAATGGCAAAATTAAACATTGGTAACATGGTTTTTTGCACAAAAACCTAGGACAATTATGCTCAAGGACTTCGGAACAATGCCCTAAAATAAGCATATATATGAAATAGCTTAATATTATACGGTCTTCAACAGTAAACTTAAACCGGTATCCACCACATTTTAACAATTGAGCCAAGAAACTGCCCTCCTCACTCACCATGATAAAGAGGTTGACGAACCACGTGAGTGAATACTGATACATCGGGTCAATGTTGCCGAGGTCAGCGATACAGAAGAAGAGGATTGCTCCATGGTTGGCCACAGGGATGTAGCCGCTGCGAGTGGCATCGATTTCCACCTGGGTCTTTTCCGCTACCTCTTGTTTCACCTGAATCTCCTCGGAGAGGGTCTTGGAGGAGGAGAGGATGTTGATCGCTGTCTCATCTTCCAAAATGTTGCCCTCGGAGGCACTTAACACCACCAGGATCTTGTCCTCCAACTCCTTCAGGGTCCGTATATTCTCTGCTGACTCTAAAATCACTTGATTCTTCGTCGCTTCGAGTTCAGGCTTCTCCATTGCAGCGACGATACTCAGCAGTTGGTCAGTTAAACCGATTGGAGTAATCATGAAGTTGATGAGGCATACTTTGACAGATATCTCGGGCACATAGTGCGGATTGCGGAGGCGAGTAGTTATGTAGAACTTGAAGTCATTGTTGTACTCCAGCACGTCTTCACCCAGCCTGATATAATCACTGCCACTTTGACGGAAGATGAGTTTCTGCAAGATGGGTTCCAAAACTGGATCCAGACTTTCGCCTACATTTTCAAGTAGCACGGGCCAACCGAATTGAATCGCGTTTTCCAAGGTGCGCATATAATTGGCGTCGGTCATGCGAATTACGTGGATGTTCTTGTCCTTCTCCATGTTGCGGATCCACTTGTTTGCCTGACCTGCAGTTTCAGAATTGAACAAAAAGATACTTTACTTTATCACACTCAAGAAGAGCCTAAGTTTCTAGTTTCGATGGATGATTATATATGATTATTGAAAAATCCAGATAATTCGCAGCTGTCAAGAACAACCATCACTTGTATAATGTTTAATGTAAGTGATGAAGCAATTCTTGAATCAAATGGGACGGGAGAACTTGTGCTGGGAACAAAGTGAATGTTTCTAACGCCCAAGACGTGTGTTAGCAGGTGACAATAAACTTGAAGGGATGTTGGGCTGCGAAGGCACAAAAACCGTTCTCACCTTGTGGATCAATGCATAACGACCATCGGTTGGAATTGGAGACAATAATTCCATTGTCCGTGGAGAAGTTATCGACTGGCAAACCAGCGATGTTCCACTCATGGATGGTCACTGCGTTTCCGAGGGTTTCGGCTATCCTAAAGGTCTCCGAGCAAGGAATCTTCAGGTCCAGTGTCATCTGGTGCCACGTCGTGGTCACACTTGACCTATAGTCTACTGTAAAAGCACCCAGATATGCCACCACGCCAGCTCCTAGCAATACGTCTCCCGTGATGTTATAGTAGCGTTCCTGTTGGACGAGGAAAGTAAGTAATATGTGAATGGAGCTCTTAGCTGTAAAGACAGGAGAAAATTACTCAGAGGTAGACAAAGACTGTCGTGAAAAATCCCAAGAGTACTTTCAAGTAAGCAGACGTGCCTTAAGCTGCTTTGCAGCCTCCGTCCAGCGTGATTTCTCGCCTCCAAGCCCGCTTATAAGCTGCGTGGCGCGTTCTAACTTCTTGCCACACAACTCGATAAGATTCACGAGATCCTGCTTCTTCTTCTGCGTCGCGTCCAACTCTGCCTGCAACGTCGCCATCTTCGCCTCCACTGCCTCCAGAGAAGCCTTCTTTTCTGCCAGCATTTGGTTCTAAAGTAATCAAGAAACAACTTTGCTATCGGTACCGCATTTAGTGAACAATGCAAAATATTGGAAGTTTGAAGCAGCATATCAAGGTATGTACCCTCTTCTAGAGCCATAAGGTGAAGAATCTTATTTATGTGTGTGCTTGAGAATAATAATAGATTATGGCATCTCGCCTCTACCTAAAAAAACACCTTAAGCAGTCGCGGTGCATACAATCCACTAGATCGACGAACAGTCTGAGTAAGTAAAAAACGAATAAAGCAGGTAAAAGTGGAAACGTTTAAAAGAATTGTAAAAAGTGAAGGTGATTGCGCGAATGAAGATTAGTTCAACGGAAAGAAAGACTGAGAACAGCCTTAGAAGTCACTAAGGGTCAATAAGGCTACAAGAAAAAGTCCCCCCTCATTTGGTTCCACTGGCACTCAATTGCTTTTGCAACAACAACAGGACACAGTCCACTTTTATCGGATCAAAGTACTTTGCCGATATAAAAGCATATGGGATAAGCCAGAACATTTTATACCGACAGAATGCAGTAAAATCAATTAGATTGACAAGTAATGACACAACGAGACATCGAAATTCACCTTGACAATGATTGGCTTAAAGGTGAAGAATACTTCGATCTGGAGCACAAAGTGCATGTAAAGCCTTCAATTATTTATCATTAGATTCAATGGATATTGAGTGATTCCCCTCCTAATCAGCAAAATTTTTCACATGGTTCTCAGGCCTCATTAAAAACAGTTGTTTGCGATTTTGAAAATTGGTGTTATGAGAGCAGAAAATATGCTTGACCTATCTGGTGAAATGATCACCATTACAATCTACCCTCCCTTAACTACACACCGCCTTGTGAATTCCACTTCCACAGACGACTGTGATACGGGCACCTCCGTTTCTGCCTCATCCTGGTTCCTCAACCGTCCGTCTACTCTACTTCGCGTCTCATCAGTTGTCCGTCTAGAGCTAATGCCACCCCAAGAGAAGATAATCGCTCTGAGTTTGAACAATTGCCCTCCCCTCCCCCCCCCCTCCCGCATCGTAAAGTTCGGTATCTCGGGTAAGCTAAGTTGTGCGCTGCCTTGAGGCAAAAGATTGTGTGCTGTCTTGCGAACACAAGAGAATGAAGTTTCTCCTTACACCCTAAAGTTGTGTCCACTTGTGGCCGTCTACTCGCGTAGACAATTCTCTTGACGGGGTGTCACATGCACACGCACACTTGCAAAGCAGGCGCAGTCACTCCTCCGAAAGCGAAGTGGTACGTGCCTTACAAGTGCGCGCGCCCTCGTGATTGGATAAGTCCGGGGTGGCCAATGATATGTTCGCTTGTTTGATGAAACGTGGAGCATAAAAGTCGCTTCTCACCACATGTGAGTGAATGAGCATCCAACGTCGCTCGTGTGGCACATTTCTACAACGTACGTGGCAAAGGTGGAGAACAAGGCGGTAGTTGTTAAAGCCTATTCTCATCTGCTTAAAAATGTCTTGTGAAGGAGACATTTGTTTAACTTCCAACGCTCCCCTTCTCAGGTGATGTAGGCGTATGCGAATTGCTGCATTATCTTAACGGACCGATCTCCATCTATTTTAATTTGCCAAAGCAAACACGTGATCCTCCTTCAAAATTGAAAATTGAGTGTCTTTGCGGACATAGCGCACCTATCATTGAGTGGACCATATTCACCAAAACCTTTCACATCGTAGGAACCACTTCTGGCTGGGTCCTTTCGCTTCCGTTCAAGGCTCCCTCTCAAAGGGCTAAACAACAAGCTATGAATGCAACTCCTGGAGCTGCAGCTTTGAAAACAGACCAGTCTTGGTTCCTAGAGTAGCAGACAAGCTGGAGTAAAATTCGTCAGGTTTAACCAATATTTTTTGAAGTTTTAAAGTGATATAAATATGAAGGAGGGAGTAATCAAAAGTACAGTATCATCAAACAAGGGCGTATCTGTGATGCACAAAACCACCATCATGTTGTCGCCGATTCTCCAAAAGACAGAACAAGCCATTACAGCTGGGTACGTCAAAAGTTGGTCACCTGATACTTTTGAAACTGAAGGAACTAATTATTAATTTCTACAGGCTCGCTTTTTCACCATAACTTAAATGAACTTGAATTTATACGTCGAACTGCACCATAGAAAGACCATTAAAAGGAACATCTTTGACATCTTTTTGTTCCAATGAACAAGACGTTTTCACTCCAAGATACTTGTCTGCATCACCAAATGCTCTTTTCTGCTAGAATTCCAATTTCCTCAACATCAATTGCATGCATGAAGTAGACTACAGCCCACCTGAGCTTCTAGCTCACTCTCCGCAATCGCCAGCCTGGCTTTCTTGGGGGCTACCACTTTGGAAACTACATCATACTTGTCCAAAGCGATAATCCACTTGCAGAGGCCCTCGCACGCCGTGCTGGCATTGCGCACAATCTTCGGGTTGAAGTCCCTGTTGGGGATGTAGATCTCGCGGATGCGTTTGATCGCTTGCGGTGGTATAGCGTCAATGTTGTAGGTCTTCAATTTCTCCAGAAATTTGAGGTCACCGAGGAGTTTCAGGGAGACGCCCCAGTAGTCCTCTATCATCTTCCCCGTCGCAGGATCCGGCTTACGCTCCGGCTTCTCCTGCATCATGATGCACACTGCCTCCATCACCAGCTTAACCACTGATGGCGGGTTCTTCATCGATTTCACCAATGTTATGTCCTACAGTGGAAATACAATGTCAAGGCTCTGTGTGGGGTGCTTGCGGTTCCAAATATGCCATTCAAACCTCTAGGCTCTGGATCTTCTACACTAAAGTTAAAGCTCGCCTTTTCAGTTGAATTTGTGTACTCGAGTGTTTATGATCCCAAGTATGACACTACTGTGCTTTTTGACATCCCAGTGATGAATTCAACGCTACAGCGTAGTTTTCACACTGCGCCAACCCCATGTAAATTCATTCGAATCGTCTTCACTACACTCACACTCTGTTTCAGTGTGTCCAGGGAAGCAAGTGCATCGTTGAGAATAGGTAGCGCCTCTGCCAGATCCGCCTCACATTCATCCTTGATCGACTGCGCCGCAGCTGCCTGCTGATTGGCCGCAAGTTGCTCGGAGGCGACAATGGTGCGCTGCGCCTCCACCTCCACGGTATCCTTCGCCACACGAGCCAGCAGGGCGTCGGTCTCTGCCCCAGTAGCTAGTAGCTGAGGCTGCAAACGCACCAGCTCCTCTTTCATCTTACCTATCTCTTTCGACGCAAAGTCCAGCTTATCCAGTCCACTGAGGTAACGATTACGCAAAGTAGAGAGTTCATCTCGTTTGCGCTGCAGAAGGTGCTTGAAGGTTCTGATGAGCTCGAGGTAAGAGGTGGGCGTGACGTAGTTATGCCGACGCAGCTCGGCTAGAAAACGCTCAGAGAGGAGGCGAACACTCTCGTGGAAGTACTTGCACATTGTTACAATGGACTTGCGAATGGAGGACTCCAATTCAATGGTGGAGAGAGAGGTGTTTGCCACCATCGCTAGTGCATCTTCCGGCCAGACCTGTGGAGTTAAAATTCCTCTGTTTAAAGGACCAGCCTCTGTTCGATTTTCACCGATTGTGAGAAATTCCTCAGCATAAACTCGGGAATATACCTCTGGGTAAACCTTTGGGAAATTGGCATCGCATTTTTCTAGCGTGTTGGAAGATTATGGCCGCTTAATGACAAATTTTGAAGGGAGGAAAAATATGGGATTTGTATTTCTTTTTAACTGATTAGAAAGTGCTAGCCAATAAAATTAATTATCCTACTTATAGACTATAAGGTTAGGGAAAGGGAGATGAAGCATATGAGTTGGATCACTGCTATTTGGGCCAGACGCTTAAAGTTACCAAAAACTTCCACTTACAAATGCTAAGAATCCTTCCATTCATTTTATGATGCATGTTTTTAATTTTGCTTTTGTTCCTCCAAATAGCTGTGATTCAGGGTTAATAACAAATCGTTTTGGAGATTTTTGTCTTTCATGAGACGAAAGTGATATCAATTAACCTATTAAAGATATTTTAGTTGGACCTGAATCTGCTTCACAGTGATGCATATCGGAGACTAAAATTCGTAATTGGTGCTTATTCTACATTTTGTGATGAAGAATAGGAGCTACTGGAGCCAAAAGTCCAAAGGGAAAAAGCCCTTGGGAAGGCGCACACACGGACAGCGCCGAGTGGTTGCGTGAACGCGCGCGCACATGGGCCGTGAACAACGCTCAAGGCAGGTGATCGATCAGCAAATCGATCGATTCAGGGTAGTTGCTTGCGTGAGCAGCAACCTGGGTCATGGCTGATCGATACTTGGCTAAACGGTGAGGCGATAGCCTACGGTTCCTAGGATCGTTCTAATCACGTGCTATTTTGCGTGAGGTCACGACACTTTTCCACCGTATCTGGGTTTCACCAGAACCCAGAAAATCCAAAACAGGCCGGCTTCTTTTTGTTTTGGTGTAGTTGGATGGATCCACATTTACTAATAAAGAACGCCGTAATTAAAAATAACTTCATTTGATCTTTCTTAATATACCTTCGAGCTTGTGATCTTGCCGTGGGATGTATTTCGTCGTTCACTTTCTGTTTGATCACATTCCTAATGAATGCCAGTAATTAGCATACTCCTTAAATTCTCCCCCAATCAAAACTCACTTCCTAACTGCTTCTTTGATCCTCATCCCATCTTGTTAACATTGCATAAATTAGTATTAGTCTACAACACAGTAGAGGATGCTTGAAAATAAGTACTTTTGGTTCTCTTAAGTTATGCCTTATCCATATTTCATCCATGTGGATTTTATGTCAACTAAAATTCCTCACTTTTTCCTGATTCATTTCTCATTGGCAAAACCTCGGTTTTCAATATAGGTTTTAAGGAAAAATGAAATTAGCAAAATGTATGGCAACTAAGTTTTCTGTCTACCATATAAGGCCGAGTGAGTTACCAGTTTATTAAATGTTAATCCATCTTTTAGCGATTGAATTTTACTTGTTCAAAATAGTTATTTGGTCCATGATTACAAATAAATGAAGAATATATGGGCGCAATACAGCGAAAAATGTCGCACATGTTACTTCAGAGATCTGACACAGGCATTTCCCTAAAACTAACTTCCACTCAGCCCTAGTCAATTTTCCGAGGCCCTACCTGGAACCAGTCGATGGTGCAGCAGTTGATGAGAGAAGGGAACATGCGTAGACGGTTGCGAAAGGCGTCGCCAATGGGACTCATGGTTAGCACAATGTGGAGGTTCTTGCGCACGCGCTCGATGAAGTAGTTGTAGAGTGTCAACGGCGAACTCTCCAGCTTCTTGCCCTGGGGCGTGCATGAAAGAGTGATTTGGACTACAGTTGTCCAAATGCATTCAAGAGTCGGTAAAAAAGGGCTTTGTTTCAGTGCTCTACACAAAGATATAGTAGGTTTAAGCTCTCTGCGATTTCCTGACACATTTATTCCGATTTTCTGACGTGCTAGCATTAAGAGCTGACGTTTTTCTCCAACTGTAACAGATCTTAGTTTTTGGTTACTTATCAATATATCTTTACTACTTCGAGTATGCTTGCTTTAGTGGAACTCATAAGTTAAATGGACTGCTGCTAAATAGAGTTTATTTTTGTAAGCCAACGCAACCTAACTAACTCAAAATATCAAGAAAACATTTGACCAGTGAGTCACTAGTCGAGGGCTTAAGCGCCAATGCTAATCCTTGAATAGATCAACTGCGTGGAAGGCGTGAGCAGCAGAGAAGGTGAACGCTGAGAAGGGTGGTGCAGAATTCGTACCAGAGGCAAATTCAAGACAGATTGAGCGGTATTTGATGACATGCGTGATTCCACTTTTATACACATCAAACAACTTGAAACAAAACATTAGGTCAAACGTATTTCCCTTCATGGAAAGAAGCATCGTGTTCCAGTTTACTTTTTATTACGTATCATGTTAAGATGCAGAAGTGTTATGCGGAATACACTTTTTATGGGGTCATGAGTCCTCAACACAATGCTTGAATGCAATCAATTAGGGTTTAAAAGACTGGAAAATGGAATTTCAGGCAGGGTGCCCCTTGTTCAAACAGTTTTTGCATGTCAAGCACACGCCATAATAAAGGCCTCACAGTTCCCAACTCTCCTCCAAAGGTCAAATGCGTGCGGGTGGAGTCCCGTTCCCGACCTAGATGAAATTCATTGAAGGTGACTTGATAGAGACGTCAGGCAACACTAAGCAACCAAATGGGTTTGTGCGTTCTGCACAGGAAAAATGAATTAACAGCAGAACGTTCCTCAAACCACTTTCTACTCGCTGCTGTAAGACTCCGTTATGACAAGTTGTCACCTTCCAGCTAGGTACAAGCTCACCTAATCCCGTCTTTGTTGATGATGCGCACCCTTAGAGTCAAAGGTGTTTGAGATGCCAGGAAAGAAAGTGCCGAAGCTAGCTTTTGCTGGTACGAGTAGAGTGAACCCAAGGCGTGAGTATTCATACCACTCGCTTTAACGACCAATTCAACAATAAAGTGACAGCTTTTTCAAGAAAATCTAGTAGACTCGAATGGCAGCTGATGGCATCGTTTTAAGCTGTCCCGTGAAGCAAACAGCCTGTCGTGCGTGCCATGTCCGCTCATTCAGAGGAGCGTTTCAATTGAGGCGGCAAAAGTGTGCAAAGTGGGGGAAAGAGTGGATCATTAAAAGTGTGCTGTCAAAATGAACCTGTAAAAGTGCGTAATTCCGTGGTTCTTAAAGCACCCATTAGTACACAACTTCGCAAGCAAACAGCAAACTCACGTCTTCGGGACCGGCCTAGATTTCCAAAAGACAAACAAAGTTAACAGGAATAAGTGCTTTTGGCTGCAAAAGTTGTCTCCGTTATCGCGCTTGATTTAGACTTTCAGTTATGGTGATATGGCTTTAATGCTCAAAAGCTAGGATATTTTACCTACAATCAAGGGAGGCGTTGGTAAAACTTGTCCCCAGAGCCACAGGAAAGTAGAAGAAGCGCAAGGCTTAATGAGGATCGGAATTTTCCGCTTTTCAAGAAGCAATCTAAGAGCTTATTCAAAATTCTTAGTATTACCAACCTCAAATATGAGTTCATTGACTAGCCGGGTCCATTTCATCCCCATACAAACGAATATTCTCCATTTACTGTGGCTACCTATTCCCTTTCTGTATCATGCTTACTCATGCGACAAGTAAAAACACGCAAATTCAATCTAGTAAATCTGGTTTAAAAAAATAAACAGTATAATCGTGGTTAAGACTAGGTCGCTTTCATTCTCCTTGGATAAGACGACAGTGATCAGTGAAAACAGAAGGCAGAAGGTGTCAAGTGGAAGCAATACTAGGTTGAGGCCAAGACTTAATGGGTGGATTGGGGACAATTTCGTCCACTACGGATTCACGCCTACCACACAACAGGCTTGTCCCGACGATAAATAACATCGGCCAGACCTTTCAATCCCATGCGCTTTTGGTTCTTGAAACAGTGATGCAGAGGTCTGTACATGCCAATTACCCTATTGTTTCTCCACTTCCTTTGTGGGATTATCACAAGGCCACATCTGGACTCAGACCCTTCTCAGCAGGGCTAGCACGAATGGGCAAACTCCTCCCATGATGTAGAGGTGTCTTTAATGAAACACGCCACCCTACTTCCTGAGACAGTGAAAGGTCACACGATGGTATCACAGACAAAACATTGCATGGAGAACTACACGTAATCCTTGCTAATAAAACTGCAAAGTATTAATCTTAACTAAGGCAAGTTTCTTACCATTCTTCCCCAAACTTATTCAAAACACAGAAATATGGGAAATAATGAAGACACGACGCCTGTTGTTGGACATCAAATGGAGTTACTAGCAGTGTGCAACGCATAGAGGTCAGCTAATTCATGCATTATCGATACTCCTTGATCGTCACACATTTGATAACCAATCGTTCTACAGAACTCACAACCACCACTCGATACCACCGTAGCAACAGTATAGTTTCCAGTAATTCAGAATCGGAAGTGGTTGAATATCATCTATACTACTAGTTCCCCAATCCTTCTATCCAGTGTATACAAAGGGGCTTCCTAGAGTCATCAGCAGTCCACATTATGACTTACAGCCTCTCTAGCTATTGACTGTAATTTATCGAGCATTTCAGCCTTCTCATCGGCAGGGAAGATATTTGGCAGATCGCCAGAGTTGAGGAGCATAGAGACGTCTTCCATGAAGGATTCTACTTTGATCTGCCCATCGGAGAAGAGAAAAACGGTGGGCTTGCCGGTGAGCCCCGCCTTTAGTAGGAGGCGCTTCATGTCCTCCCGCCAGTCAGCCGCAGTGTAGTTGCGTGTGATCTCAATGCTGAAGTACTCGTAGTCGGCCATGTGTACGGCCAGGCGGGCAGCGCTGTGCCGTCCACTGCCACCCACACCTAGGGGCGAGTTGGCAAAAAACCACTCTACAGTTCTTTTCCCCTAGCTCTTTTGAGACCAGCTCCATCTGGTGTCAAATTCAACAAGTTTAGAACAGTATATCCAATACAAAACCCATTTGAATGGCCCACCGATGAAAAATAGGACAGGACTTTTTTCTCTGTTCCAAGTCCCGGATAGTACTGGCATTGGACTGCCGGTAGTAAGGCCAACCTCCGTTCTGAGATCTTTGCCTCTTTGGGTCTCTGATTGGAGGCTTGACCAGTCCGTACTTACACATACATGTCAGGTCATACCAGGCACAGAAAAAACATCCACAAAGTCAGCAAAACCACTCACCAACAAGGAGGCAATGACCTGCATCCTGTTTCAGCACACGAGCCACCCGACTGACGTGCTCCATAGCGAATTGAAAGAGCACAAGGTTCATGGGAGTCTTCGTCACCGAGTTATAGTCGTCAAGGAAGTACTGCATTCGCTGCTTCAATTCCTGCATGTTCGCCACCTCGTCGTAGACCTGATCATCACTCATGTAGTCCCCGAACATCAGCGAGCGCACATCCTCATCGGTGACTTTGCCATCAGACGGTCTCAAGTAACCCAAGAGATTATCTATCGTGACTTTGAAAACGGAATTGAGGGTCTCCTTGACTATTTCAAACCACTTTTCTCGGTCGGATTCCAAGGTTAGGCGATCGTAGAACACACGGTACACCTATGAAGAAAGAGTGACATTTAATTTTTTTCTCCAGATGGTATGCTATAAGTAGGGGATTTTTTTATTTGTTATTTGTAAGTGGTTCACAGATTATCTGATTATTTAGCTAAACATGCTTATTCGTGACCTTGAGACCATGTAGCTTTTCTACGGAATTGATGATGACCATCCAGTATCATTTCTTTTGGTGGATCTCAATATCGACACACCTCTGGTTAAACTGGTCAATAACAACTCAGCTCGTGGATCCGAAGGCCCGCAAACTGATGATCTTCAACGGTTCTATTAATAGAGCATGTTGTTTTAGAACTCATATTTAGTCTTTGACTAACTTTGTACGTCAAATAAGTCTTCAATGTTTTTAAATTATAAAATTGAGAGAGAAATAAAATTAAATGAATCATGGGTCACAAACAGATAGGAAATCATTCAGTGATCACCCACCTCGTGGACCCAGAGGCGCATAAACTTATCTCCCTCCTTCATACAGGATGGAGGGACTAGCAGAACACCGCGGATGACTCGAGCAAAGTCACGTAGGTTGAAGACGTAATGCGACTTAGCTGGGGTGGGTAGAAATACAGCGATTGCGCGTTTGTACGTCTCCAGCGTGGCTTGGACCATGATCTACAAGGTGTAATCACTCTAAAGCATTGATAATCCAAGTTTTCTCTTTTTCCAACTCTTATACTTATCATTTTGGTGACAGTTAGGGCTAAAACAAAGTATATCAATTGTTAGAGTTTTGAGGAGGAATGTAACAGGGCCTACTTACCTTGGAAAGTCGACTGAATTGAGAATCGTAGCCACGTCCAAAGTGCTTGTCCACAATGATGGAGAAGATGCGACTCATTGTTGCGTCGTTGAACTCATTCACGCCTAGGACGTTCATGTGACGCGTGAAGCGCGAGGTGATGTCGTTCCTTCCTCCACCTGGAGGACCCATGGCAGCAAGAAAAAGCTGCAAACAAGGCGATAAATTCGCTTGAAAAAAACGTGAGGAGAAACTCAAAAAAAAAGTTATGAAGTTTTCATTGGTTGAGACCAGGTCTGCAACCCTATTGGGCCTACAGCACTGACTATGAAGGCAACATTTTCACCAGCACTCACCACATCCACAAGAAACTGTTTGCTGTTGTTTTTCAGGTCGTACCAGTGGCCGTGATCAATCCACATCCTGAGCAGTTCAATGGGTGGTTGAGCACCATAGACCTCCTTCGCGGGCATGTTGAGGTCGTCCACAAAGACGACACACTGTTTGCCCGGTGGTGGACCGTAGACTCCACGTCGACGACGGTCCAGCCGTGACATAATGATGTCCTGTGTCAGATTGGCCGAGGTACGCGCCGAGAAGTTCAGTGTGTTTGGGATGTAGACCTCTTTGGGTAGATTCACTAGGTGTTGGTTTACCAAAACCGACTTTCCAGTGCCTGTGGATCAACAAAAAGTCGTCAACTTTCAGACGAGTGGACAGTCCCAAAGATGCCAGTTAAAAAGGAAAAGAGGCAGGTAACTCAGGTGTTGTTAACAAATAATCGTATCTTTCTCAGACCGTAGCCCTGTTCTTAGGTCGTCAACCGCGTCAATATACTACAAAAATAAGGCATAAGCTACCACCGTCTCTACTTACCAGTATATCCAACAATCAGCATAGGAATGCGATGAGACAGGTAGATGTCCAGAAAGTAAGACATGCGGACAGTCTCTGTAGTGGGCACGATCATGTCTTGCGGTAACTCATCACGCCCCAACTCAGGTGTAGCGAGTCGGGCAGCCCACTCAATCCAGCTGCCTGTAGATTTGCGCTCGAATACAAAGTCATAGACGGTCAGACGATCAGGCAGCGCATTGCTCTTTCCCGACAACTTCAATGAGGTTGGACGTTCGCGGTCGGTGCCGGAACCAGAGAGGAGGTCGCGGAGCATCACATCGAAGCGTGCGCGCTCATCTAATGAAAGCGCGGAACCGAGGCTCCACACGAGACTGAAGATGAAGAGGCCCTGCAGCCAGAGGGTGATTGTCTGCTCGGTCAGACCGTAGCTCCCTTGACCGGTCTGGTAGGCTTCTTCCTCTGTGTAAAATAAAAAAATTAATCTCCAGAAAATTCGATCAAGGCTAAGTCGATATGCTGGGTCCTGGTAACTAGGGCTCTTAGAATCCCTGCATTCCGGAAGGCAGGAATGATTGTCTGCTAACACTCACCCTGGTATCTGAATGCTAAATTATTAATAATTACCAAATCATTAACCATCACTGATGCATATGTTCTGCTCTAAAGGCAAAAGTCACAGTTACTTTCCATATCTGGTTATACTCAGACTGTGGGTGCTAATGCTCGCGAAGCATAAATCCGAGCTACCTTCGCTGTTAGGTTTCCGAGACTCCAGCTCTCGCATCGGATCCAGATGAGCATCAAAGAGCGTAATGAGCTGTTTCACCGCATGTAGCTGCGAAATCGGCAACAGTTGACTGCACTGGCTGGTGATAAACTCTAAACAGGGATCCACCAACCACTCAAAGAGGTCCCTCAACAAAGCTCTGTGTTCCTCATTCAATACCGGAGGCAGTCCATGGGCTATGTAGGAGTTCATCATCGGCCTCCAGCCCAATTGCGAGGGTTCCATGAAGATCATTCCACACCGCGACACTGTGGCCGGACTCGCCTGTTCCAGATCTGCTGGCTCAAATATCATGTTCATGCGTTTAGACATGGCGATTATCTCGCCAGACATGAGACACAGCTTCTTGTTGTCATCTAACACAGTATTCATGTTCTCTATCCACACTGCATCCACTGGACCGTCGAAAATCACCCACCTACGGTGGTCATCCTGTGCTAGGGCGTATCTTCGATACAACACCGGCAGCACACCGTCCGACCATTCATGGGACACCACATCAAACTGCCCGTACAACTGCCCCATTGTGATTGACTTTGGATTAATTATCCCAAAATGCACTTCACTTTCATCCCCCATGCCCCCCGTCTCCCCAAGTTGAGTCAAAGCATCCGCAAGACTTTGATAAGCCTGCGTCTTCCCTCCCAACGGGTCTCCGACAATCATGAGACCATGACGAACGAGAATCATCTCGTAGATCTGCAGAATCTTTTCCATGTACCAGGGTACGGGTTGCAGGTGTCGGGTGGCCAGAGACTCCTCTACTGCCTCCATGAAGGCGGAATAGTCGGTTTCGGCAAGATGAACCCCAGGAAAGAGATCGGAGATGATGCCCTCGAAGAGAGGAATGTCCTGTGCCAAAAACTTGGGCAAATTCACGTCAATGATGGCTTTGAGGATGAGCTGACTTTCCTCCTCGTCCTCGGAGCAGTTCTGACGCAAATTGCCCGCCGCGGTGAGCACCGACTTGACTGCACGCATGCCGTAATCGTAGTGGTGCTGGGAGGAGAGCTGCTCGCTGCACAACTTGTAGGTCGCCACAATCTTGCTTGAGAGGCTTCGCAAGCGGGGAAATGAAAACAACGACCCTGTTACCCATTTATTCACTTTACTCAGCAGGGGCTTCCAAGAACCTTTTTATGGTAATGATATTAACTTGTCTTTAAAGCATAGCGTGACCACGGATTACACAAGTTCCAGAAAGTCATTAGAGTCTAAAAATGAGGTGCAAATCATCATCGTGCTTTGCCATGCAGATCATCCGTTTTGACTCCAAGTATTCTAAAACATATACTTCAGTTATGGCTCCACATGTGACAGTCAATCAAACTTTCATTTCGCCTACCTAAGTAATTACCATTTGAATGCCACATTTCAACGTTTTTTAAAATATTTGGACAGCAACAAAACACATTATTTTAGATCATTGCAAAGTTAACCGCTTTCCTCTAAAAAAATAAGTCTTACGATTTCGCTTCAACAAATCCCATCGAGTAGAGGGAAATCTCGCCAATAAGGGCGTAGTCGGGCACCATCATGGCCACGGATCTAAAGAGGACCTGCAAATAGACACAGCATTCATACATTCGTTCACCTTAATTAATATTTCCACTAAGTTGGGTGGTAGTAAAAAACAACGTTTTAGGCTCTGGAGGCACCCACTTTCAGATTATCAGGCAGTTCCTGCCGACCAGCATAGCCAGGGTTCATAGTGATGAAGATGGTACAAGTGGGATCCAACTGAAGTTCGGTGCCCTCGAAAACGAAGCGTTCCAGGCCCTGAGCGATTGCAATCTGGATGGAGTGGATTTGTTGAGCTACCACGGAGAGCACCTCCAATTCAATGCGGTTGAATTCGTCAAAACACGCCCAAGCACCCGACTGGGCAAGACCCTTGAAAAACTTCCCCATCGCCTTGTAGTTCAGACCGTCTGAACAGTTGAAGACGACGCACTGCTTTGCCACCGCCTTGGCTAAATCCTTTTGAAGAGATCAACCCATTCGAGCAGTACTATCAAAGTTACTGTCTATAAATAATTGCAACTCATGTGGCTGTCATTTTAATCCAAAGTATTGCCTGTGCATCCTCTTGAATTTTGGATTTAATGTTTCACACAATAATACACGGACGTAAAGTTTGCTGAATCTATTGATGTAATGACAAAAGGGCTCCAGGAAAGTGAGCTAGAGGACATCAGCAAGGGCATATATTCAAATGGTATTTAATACTACCATTCATAAGGATGGATGTTCACGGCTTTAATTTCCTTCACCCTCACCTCAGATTTAGTGGTTGAATGGCATGTAATCAAGAGGAAATACATCACGGACTCTACAAGTACCGTTATAGACTATTGTCTGCTGAGCTAAGTACCTTGGATGTTTCGGTTTTTCCAGTGCCTGCGGGTCCCTCGGGTGCTCCGCCCAGATTCAACTGAATGGCACCCATGAGCGTGCGATAGCAGCGATCCGTCAGCGGTGTGATGACCAGACGCGGTGTGTTGCCGAGGTACTCGCAACTGAAATCGTCAAAACACCGATTATTTTAGACGTGAGACGAATTGGTCAGTGGGGAGCTGGGCTCATTTCTTTCATTTTTATCACCTAAATGTCATTTCGGTATTAATAATACTTTACAGGACCTAACAGCACATGTCTTAAAATGAAAAAGACATTTCCTATTCTTGACAGCAAAACATTAAGTTGAGAAGAGGAGAATTTTCACATTGTGACTACTTACTAAAACCAGTCTATCAGATTAAATGCACATTAATTATTATTTACGCTTAAAAGTTTACCAGCGTAATGGCTTTCAAAAGCCATAAAAGCCATCATGGCCAACAAAGTCGGGGTTCGTGGAATCTTTTCCTCAGGTTGGATTCGATTTTCCCCCTGTTTATCTAATACTATCAAATCAACTTTTCGATGAACCATGGAAGACAATCGGGCGCCGCTTTAAATAGGTCCAACTTGACAGTTTCGTGATCTACGAAGAGGAGTCAGTCTCTAGCACATGACTTAAGCTGCTGAAAGGACTTACGCATAGGTGATTTGCGCGGTGATGAGTTGGACGTAGATGGCGTGGTTCTCCTTGGCGGAGTAGTAGTAGCGCAGCTGACTCAACCACTCAAAGGCGGTGATGGAGTTGATCTGCGCCTTCACCAGCTCCGCAACCACATCTCGAGCTTGACAAAATGCAATGGCATTGTCTTATAGAAGAAATTACTACTGGCTTCGTAAAGATAACATACTTTGCCATCTAACATCATTCCAGTGGTGGGCAGAGAAATTAGGCCTGATTGGCGCGAGTGATCATGGGTTTACACCTTTCAATAAAAATGCTTTTGACACTGTGGTAAAATGAAATTCCACTCTGACTTATGAGCAAATGGAGAGCATTCTAAGGGAAAAACACAATTCCTTTCATGATGTAAAATGTTTAAATGAACCGATGCGACGAAGCGAAATCGGAACGTCAGATTTAGTCAAAACAGACTAGTTATCCAGTTTCATTAAATTACATTATGTGATTCACCACTTGCCGACTTTTTTCATGACATTCTGTTTTTATATTTAATGAACAAATTAATACTGCTGAATGCTACTAAATATGTAATCAGTAAGGCTTTCCGAGCATAAACGCATACGTTTTGTCGCCTCACCTCACCAACCAGTGTACAACTCATCCAAAGGTACTAAATTCTACAATATTTACGTTGAGAGCCTTACAGTACAAATTTAGCAAGGGAATTTCCCACTCATCATCATCACTGCGGTTTATGCTAACCTTTGTGTTAAGAAATTTCTTCCTAATTTAAAGTGGCTTATAAAGGATAACTAAACAATTTCATGTGATTTTTAACACGAAACTGAAGTAAAAAAGGGAAGCTACTGGAGACATCTGCTACAACCATTGCCAACAGAATTTGGCACTCCTACCTAAGTAGACAAAAGTTGAAGATTTTCCCTTCTATAAAACCCTTTGCCTTTAGAGGTAAAGCGCTCGACCTTAGTAACTCCCCCCTTGCCTTGATTTCTCACCTGGCTACTCTACATGTGGTCATGTGAAAGTCGGATACCAAAAGAAGGCGCTAGTCATGACTTGGCGATTACGATGGTAAAGCTAGATCACCACCCCCACTCCCCCCCCATTCCACTCAAAAGTGATAATCCCCTCAGGAGTCAGTTATGCGGTATAAGATGGGAGGCCGTGTGTTGTGTTGACTTTTAAGGATGAAGGCAAAACTTTCTTTTTTAAGCACTGAAGTAGTGAAGAGCACATTGCTGGCTGTCCAAACGTACTAGCATCCGTTATTGAGTATCTTCCACTACGAATTCTCCTTCCCAGTTGATGCAGGTGTACGGATTAAACATACCATTACTAAAAGTTTATTTTAACTTATCAGTGGCGCTGCATGAATTTCTTACAAAATTGAGAATTTGAGGTCTTCGGAAACATGATCCATCCATCGTTGAGCAATTAATCATTACCAAAATCACCCGAAATTGGTAAAAACACTTCTGGATGGTAAGTGTTCTACAAGAAGCCGTATGGATAGCTTCTGGAGCTGCAGCTGCAGCTTTGGAAGCAAGCTAAATTCCTTTCATAAAGTAGACAAGCTTCAACCACGGTCATCAGGTTCAACCGAAGTGAGGCCTCAAAAAGAGCAGGAAAGCGGAGAGGAGCATGGTAAAGATAATTTCTTTACGCTTTATCCTACATATAAAAAGTTGCATTCGAAACTTCTCCACAAGTCAAAACAAGCTTTACAGTAAGAAACACCGCAAAAGCAGCACCGCAACGTGATATGTATTCCATAAATCGCCCAATGTCATTTATAATGACCTTGTTTGACCCACCAGTAGTCAATTAGCAAAAAGACTAGGCAATTCAGCAATAGAGGTACCCATTTCAACATTGCGTTGTTATACTGACAGTTCTCCTAGCCATGGTTATGCCATTTATTTACCACTGCCGTATAAACTAGGCAATGAAGTAATTTGCTGTGCCTTTAAAATAGCTGAAATGAATGTTCAAGAGTAAGCAGGAGATATCTGCATTCACCTTATATAAAGGGTACAGAAATACCTAGTAAAAAAAAGGTCCCCATGTATAATCAATGTCCAAACAACTTTTACCAGGGAATATCATTTGTGAGTAGATTAACTTCCAGGAATCTTTCTTCTTTATTTACCCCTTGCTAATTCTGCCGCATTACTACTCACATGTCATTATTACTATTCAGGAAAACTTGGAATTGATCTCCTGCCCAACTTGGTCAAGTTAATTAATCAATCAGAGAAAAGTGTTCGACGCGTTTCGTGGATTATGGTTATTTATGAGGTAAAGTTTCCTAATTGTATGAATTTCGGACATCTAATGTCGATCATACCATGCACGTCGAGAACGATGAGAGCTTCCAAAGTGAGACGTTCTCCACTTGTAAGCTGTCCTCTCACCAACTCCACAATATCCTCAATCTGTTTATCACATTTTAACTTCTGTGGAAGCAATTTCTGATCCGAAATGGCCTTTTGAACATTGCTGGTCCAGTGGACCATGGAGCCGCACAAAACAACCTATAAGAGAATGACAAGCTTCTGATTGGTGCTCTGGCGGTAAGCAAAGTTTGCACATTTTAATTGGATGGGAGACTTACTTGGCCTGGCCAATCAAGGACCCACTTTTCTCTCACCGTCATCAAGTAAGCCTCGATGCTGTCAGCAATGACTTTGCGGATACTTTGAACCATCATCTCCTCAACCTGCAGGAGCCACTTCTCCACCATGCCCTGTCAAGAAACAGTGTTTCATATCCTTCAATGGTCTTCCTTTTAAGCAAAATACCTACCTATTGATCGGTTTATAAGACATCCAGCAAGCTACTTTTTTCAATTGAGTAGTCTAAATCCTATCTTGAATGTGATTAATTTTTTGGAAGAATAAGTGGAAATTTTACATCTTAGGTACAAAACTTCAACGTTAATACGGTGGCAAAGGTGTAAATGTCTGGAATGAGTGTAGGGTAATAAGTGGTTAACAGGCGATTGGTTAAAATAGTGATGTCTGAGGCGCTTCAGCATTAACACGTGAAAACGTTTATTTATAGGTCTCAAATAATTCTTGCCAACTTTATGTATTTTAACTGGTTTTATGTTGATTTTTACATTTATTGAATCAGTTTGCATTCCAAAACGGAACCGCGTCAGAGCATACAAAAAATCGAATGGTTTTCAGCAGAATTTTTGTTCATTTAAACATGAATTTTTGTTTTTTGCATGAGGTTTAACACTTTACAAAGAGCACATGGTGTTTACTTGAGTGCTTCGGATACTACTTTGAAGTATTTTCCACAATTACATATCTAAAGGTAAAACCTCCCGTTAACATGAAATTATTCACATGCTTGTGTTAAATAAAAGTTTATAACAATGGCCGAAATTGTGGAATGAGGCAACTAAAACCTTCAAAAAATGGCGTTCAACCCCAATTTAAGTTTTTATTGGGTAGAATAATCGAATTTGATGCATATTTGAGGAACTGCTATTCATTTTCGGGGGATACATTATATCCTCAAAAAGTGTTTTCTATCTACTTACCATTAGCCTCCTTTTGCTATAGAATTGAGTCAAAATGTGTAATTTTACTATTTTATTTCCCCAATCATATTATTAGCTTCAATCACGTATTTGTGGTAGCACCCGCACCCAGGTCAAAAATAGCCAATGGGAAAGAAGGTGCGCGCACGCACTCACCTTCGCCTTAGCCGGGTAGATTTTCGTGACAAACGGCACCATTTCGCCCTCAGCCGACATCATACCGATGATTTCTTGTTGATCAGTGAAATTCAGCGCACTTATTCCCTCAAAGCACTTCTTCAAGTGCGGCTGCACACGGAGGGGATCCTTAGTCTCCGAGAGTATTTCCAACAGCTCGTCATTTGACAGGAAGAAGAAACTGAAAAGCACATGCCATGTGTCTGGTGTATTTTAAGTTAGCAAGGAAAATTGTTAGTTGATCAACTTCATCACGTCTGGAATGTCCAGTCTTCCACGGTAATGTGTCTGCGAATCAATATCACCTTCATTTCGCTCCGGTTGTCTGAATTTCAAATTAAAGGGAAAAAAAACCTGACTGTAGATTTAAAAGGGCATAATTATACGATCAGCATTTCTAAAGGTGTTCTCATAAAGCGATTCCATTCATAGGAAACTTAATGGAATTCACTAGAATTGTGAATTCAATCCTAAACTCTTGGTGGTGAGAATAACCCAGACATGTGGTCTTTTTACTGATGTCTTCCACCTAAACTCATCGCTTGTGTACTATGACAACAGTTTCGTCAAGACATGACATTTGCCAAGGATGACTGGGCTCCCAAAAATGATTCAATGAACCGTTGGAATCTAATTGAATTTAAAATTCCTGTGAAACTGGAAGACAGGATAAAAATTTGATTAAAGGATTCCAAATCGTCCATACAAAGACCGTCTTGCAATATCTCTACAAAAGCGACGAACGATGATTTGAATCTCAATGCCTGACTCCCGATTGGTTACAAGAACTGGACACCATTCAAATGGCGAAGAGCAAAGAGGAGATGAAATGGAAAGGAAACCTCGATAAATTGCTTTATATTGTACACTTCATCAGTTGAATTTTTTTACGACAAATTCTGTAATGAAAAGTCATTATCATTTAAAATGTGGTCGCTTGCCATCGGTTAAATCGTGTTGGGAAATTTGACACCAAACCGCTAATGCTGGGTTGGAGGGTGATAAAAGAATATTAAGATTTCTTTATGTGCAGCTGTGTGAGCTTCTTCATTCTCCGGCTATTCGGCCTCCACGCCGATGGTACAGACTAGACTTCGGTTCATGCAGTACACTATAATGTCCCAATCCAGGCGATGTTATTGACTCACCGAGGAAAGAAGAGGCGTTTTTTCTCCAAGTAGTCGTTGAGGCCCTTCTGGATCTCCTCTAGCAGGTAGTTTCCATCGGTGAGTCGGCGCAGCATGTCCCGCTGGTCGGTGGCTACAAGACACGAGGGATTCTTTGCTGCCTCTGCCATTATCTCGCGCCAGAGCACATCCACCACGCCGAACTTGCGACCCTCCTCTGGCATCTGTGCCAAAATATCCTCAGAGGAGAATATGGGCTCCAGGTAGAGCCATGTTGCTTGCACCTGTATAGGTGAACAAGAGACTCGCGACTTTTCTCCCCACTGGATAGCACCTTAATTTTCCCCTCCTGTTAATTTTGCTGTCTTCGTTCAAATAAATTTTCAGTCGTACAGCCCAATTCACTCGTTCTAATGCGTGAGCAAGTGGTACTTGAACATTTAAAAAGCCCTATATCGTATCCCTTCGCCATTATAAATGCATGAACAAGAGAGGGAATTAACTAGTTTATTGGCAGCTGACCTTAAGCCAGACGTCAATGATCTCGTTCATGGTCACGAGTTTGTTCTCCCACGCCCGCATCTCCTCCTCAAAGGGTTTGATGTAGGGGGAATTGTGCATTGTCTGCGCCTTAATCACGTGGTCGTCCAACAGCACCTGAATGTCGTCAACTGCCGAGAGGATGCACACGTCCTGCGAAAGCACAGAGTTAGGTGGAAATTACAACACCCTTCAACTTTTAAGAGGTTTGTTGCATAAGCCCAGCCCCTCCAACCGGTTACAGAATAACTGATTTTGTGGAATCTAGAGATTGAACGGTGGTTTTTGGACAATAAGATCACTTGATAAATGCACATTTTTTCCAACAATAGAAATAATATTACGTGGTAATAATATTGACCATTCCCTCATTCTATGAGCTCAGTAGGCTTCTGAGTACATGAAATGGAAGGGAAATACAAGCAACCACCCTTCTAGGGTGTCGGTTGTTCCGATTTACGCAGAGCAAGAATCGGAACTCACAGTGTCGCGATACGGTAGCAGTTCAAACCGCATGGCCGCCCAGTCGGACTTCATTTTGTGCAGCGCGACCTCCAACTTGTGCTCTTTCGCCGCAGCCGACGCAATCTCCTCCAAACGGGGCAAAAATTCCTCCAGTCCGAGGTCGATAAGCTTATACAATGGTGTCTCCGACGTCGGCAGTACCTCGAAGCCCACCACCTCCGATATGCGCTCCCAGTGGCGTTGCTGGATACCTGGATTACACACCACTTGCATTGTTGGTAGGTACTCCAAAAATTTCTCGATCTTTGCCTGTCAATAGAAGGTGGGGAGCAGGCATAGAGGCTTCAATATTTTGTTTACTCCATTTCTGTCACGATTCAGGATTCTCTATCGGTTTATTTAAGTAAGATTTCAGTAGTTTAGATACACGAAAGCTGACCACCCCTTTCCATGTTTCGCATTCAATCACAGACGTAGCGTAAAGTTGATGGTAGAATTACCTAACTGTGCAAGGGGAACAGGGGAGATAATGATTCTTTTACAAAACAATTATTAGGAATATCCGTCCATTGATAGAGTGTCATTTCATCCCCCACTTACCCGCAGTTTCTGTGCCACCTTCAAGGATGCAGGCTGATCAATAAGAATCTTGGTTAGCCTATGAATGGTTTTGTACATCTCCGTGATCTCCGTCTCCACCGCCGCCGCATCCACCTTCCAGTAGGGTGAAGCCAACCAGGCCTTGCTCTTCTCCTCGAAGTCCTTTGCCGTTCGCCACAACTTCTCGTAGGGCTCCATCACCTTCCGCATCTCGAAAATCTGTGGAAATTCACTCTGTTCAAACTGCAGTAGCTTTTCCTCTCTTTAAAAATACAAAACAAGTCTCAAGCTATCACCCTTGCTGATGGTTTTAGGAGTAGCTTTGGCCTATTGTTTCATCCCACCTAGTGATAGCCTCGGCCTCCTCGTTGAACTCATTCACGAGGGTTTTAAAGTTATCAAGTGTAGCATTGGCTTTCTTGATCTCATCCTGGGACAGAGTCTCTCTCTTCTGCATAATTTGTACGTAGTCCGCAGAACCGGCGATTCGCTTTTCCAGTGCAAGGATGCGAGCACGGAGGGCGTCCTCGGCGGCGTCTTGAAGACCAGACAGACGAGAGATGGTCACGTCGAACACCTGCTTGATGTAGTGAGGCCAGTAGAAAAGGTTGGTGTTCATTCGAATGTCATCCTCTAGTCAAATAAAGTTAATGCTGTTTAAAGTTAGGGTGTAAAATGATAAATGTATTACGCCGATTCATCTCAAGAATCCCTCCAGATTCCTTGCCAACTCGCAGTCATAAATATGAAATAGATGACACAAAACGGAGCAGTGTGGATGTTTCATTTTAAAGAGCATGGAAAAGTGGTCTCTTACCCGACATGAAGGTGTAATCGAGAAGGAAACTGAGATGTTCTGCCGATTCCGCCACCTCGGCTTGCAACCGAAAGACCGTCTTGTTTTGTGTATCCTTGAGGAAATCCTGAAGGTCCACCAGTGCCTGTGTGTTCGCGGGCTCCTCACTCAGCTTATTCGTGATGGCCTCGTAGCGGCGACATATACTATAAGCCACATCACACGCTCAGATGCTACTTATTTTGGTCTTGGCGAAATAAGTAGACGCACTTGAACTTTCGCAAGAGAGTGATTTACTACAGGATATATTATCGGAAAAATGAAATTAATGATTTCGGAACCTCATCCACTACTTTCTATGCAATTAACTAGTATATAAGGTTGAATATGTATTCAGAGCTTGACGATAGCAACTGTTTGCAGTTTGTTTTCATTCAGATGCTCACACCTTGATGTGCTTTAATGTCGTTTAATCAGTTACTTTTCCTTTTTTTATTAGATGAGTAATCATTCTTTCGGGTTGGGGATTGGTCGCGCTGTAATGCTCAGTTATTGCAGCCACTTTATATGCGTTCGATAAGTACTACCTATGTAGATCCTACTGAGGGAAATAGATATGATATTTGAACAGAACATGATCATCTCTAGCTTCTTCTATCTGTTATCCCATGGATCATCGCAATTTCCCCACTAAGTGTCCGTGTGTTTTTTTTCTAACAGTCAAAACAGCATGTAAAGGGCTTTACATACAGACTGCTTATTTCGGTCTACCGATATAAGTAGACGCGCCAGGCCCGAAATTTCTAATGCTTTAATAAATTGAATTGCTTAGCTGAACCACTGCAGACGATAAAAAGATATCAAAATGCAGCCAAGTGAATAGTAAACGTCCCTAGATTGACCGTCTGTGTTTAAAGAAGCTCCCTTTTAGTAGAAGAATCGACTCGTGGAAATAAGTCACCTACCCGTTGAAAGGCCTGAGCTGAGAAAAAAATTGGTAATTAAAAACTGATTGGGGGTGAATTGTTTTCGAATGAAGCGTGAAGTAACAGAAGTGTTCACTAGAGAAAATTATCTTGTCAAAACTAACAAAGTCTATTTAATGAAGCAGTGCTGACATTATGGATTTAAGCTTCTAGAAACCCGATGACTTGGCGGTACTTAGCATCTCCGGAGAGGAAAAATACAATTTAGCACGAGAAACGGGCTAAGGATTAAGCACATTTCGCGGCCGCAAAGATTCCTTCTCAAGACGCAAGTGCTGGGCTTCCACACTCAGCAATCACAATTCAACGCATTCACGCGATGCTGCACCACACATTGGAGTACCTTTAGCGAGCCATCAACAAGTTTTCTTCTAGACTCTGGCACGATTTCATAATCTACAATTCATACCCACAAACTACAAAGTAAAGTTTGACCACGATGCGGTTCTATGATTTAAGATCCTTAGTCGAGGCGATATATATGAAGGCCGTATTCTTCGGCCAATTCATACAGCGGTTTTGCTAAAAATGACTCATTTTCCGTCAAGAGTAAGTTCGTGCCTTTCAACATCTAACCACCAAGGAGGATATCAGCTCCATCGAAAAAGAATTTACTTGCCTCGATCACCTTCAACATCTCGACTGCCCTACAGCGCTAGAATGTAGGTAAAGCATTTGCCTAAGGTATTTTGATTGTCAGTAACGAGATGCTTTGTGAAGATGTGCCCACCTTCGGTTGATCTCTCTCGCCTCATCCAGCTCAAAGTTGGAGAGAATGTCACGCAATTTTTGAGCCCTTGCTGCCAAATTCAAGTTGACCCCTTTGCAGTCGAGGCAGAAGAGCTGGAGTGGAACGGTGAAACGCATTCCCAGTATCTCCCTCTTCAAATCCCTATAGGCGTCCAGTTGCTGACAAAATGAAAATAGGGGTTTGCTGTCAACAAATCAAAGGATCAAGTGATCACTGAAAAGAATTCCAATTGGCCAAGTTAAAGGAGGATGAAGTCCTTCGTGAATGCAGTCTTACCTCAACATGAGGACAACCATGTCAAGGAAGGGTTATACTTCACAGCCTATTGTACCAGTAGAATCTCTTTCAATGGCTACGATCTTTGGTGTAGCTCTTCCTCTACACCCTGTAGATGTGGCCACCTAAAGCCTCATCGACATGGCATTCTGTTCGTTCTGAGGCTTAAAATCTTTTGATTTGAAATTGCATAATTGTTTATTGGCATTAGCTCACTTCTATTTCCGAAAACAGCTTTTACTCCTGTCAGTCTGTCTATCCCCTCAATAATTGTTCCAGTTTTGTTTTGTCAAAGAAAATTAACTGTGCCCGAATTATTTGGCTTACTTTCTTAACCTGACTCAAATTTTCGGCGAGCTGATCCTCCAGAGGGTCGTCCTCCTGTAAGATTCCCTTTTTCTAGAAAAACAAGTATTCAAAAAGTTAGTTTGTACTATTATGTCACGTTTCAGTGGTTTGTAAGTCCTCTATTTGAGAACGAACACCGTCAATGAAATCAACTTTTCGGATGCTAAAACATTTTGGTAATCCTGTCAACGGAGAACCTGAGCTGTTACGACGATTTAAGTCTTTACGGCTATTTCATAAAGTGCTTTTGATCAGGAACCTTTTTCCCAACTGCACGCATTCACCCTTATAAGTAGGCCACCTAACTGCAAGAGGGAGTTTCATTGCAGGTATTGGCAGGGATTCCATCTACGCAATAATTTTCCATCTCGTTTAACTGCTTTTAACTACGCGGACACTTCATTCTCCGTACCCCGCTCTGCGTCGTGGCCTACCAGCTCTTCTCTATGCTAGTAAGTAGTGTGTTCTTCCACAATGCTTTGGCCTACGACGACTTCAGGGAAGAATCGAGTAGCCACATCGATTCTACCTCTGTGAACTATCGATGGAATTCCACTGCAAATGCGCACCTTCCGTCACTTTACCCTTTTCCTCGACTAATAAGGGCTCAAACTAATGCCCATGTGATGGGTATGTTATCTAATTCTCCTCTATTTCCTCTGCCACATTAACCTACCTTCTTCATCGAAAGTAGGCTATGTCTTTCCTTCATGAAGGCGCGCAGTTCCATTTCGGCCTTGTTGTTGAGCAGGTTGCTATATGGACGATAGTAGTCGAGGTATTGACGGGGACCGGTGGAGTTGAGACGAAAGACGTGGAGCGAACGGTCGGTGCACTTGGACACCAGGTCCTCCTGGTAGTTCACACTGCGAATGTAGATGGGCTGGTTCACCATGGCGGGAAAAAGCTCGGTTTCCACCTGTAGTGAGGAGCAAACCATTCAATTCAATTGGTCCATTTAAAAACGCTCGATCAACTAATATACTTAGCCCCATCTACATCGGTGTTAAACACTGCAACAGTATGGCAGAGTATAAGCCGTATATTTCCTCTGGTTCAAGAGTTCATTTCTTCTGAATCAATAAAATCACAAGGGTTTAATTGTTTTACCTCTCCTCTCCCCCTTTAATTGCGAGACAAAGGGCTACACGAGGGGATACTGTAGATACCACCTTGGAATCGAGGTAAGGTTGGTTTTTAGAGGAGGCAAGGTCAAATCACATCCATTAGGCTCAACGAACTCTTCATGGGGTTATGGAGTAGCAGAAAAGTGGGACAGAGCGTAAGTAAGAGTATATTATAGATAGACTGACGTACATCTCTGCCTCGCGACGCTTCGAATGTAACGCAAACAAAGGGAAGGGGAAGTGTTGACTAACCCTTGGTAGATTTGTGGCTGCATTAGTGATGGTCTGAAAGCACTTAAGCAGATGTTCCCGAATCTCCCTCAAGCTTGGTGAATAGACGACTTTGGGGTCCGAGACCTTCAATTTTATTAGCAGCACTGGTTTCTTCACGAAATGCATCTCCTCGTATTCATTTTTGAAGGCATTCGATGACTGGACGAATGAGAAAGCAAAGCGACTTTGTAATATCCCTCGGGAAAAGCTAACAATTGCTGATAATTTGGTGTTGGTAGCTAACCTTGTACCCTTCAATGAACTCTGTGAGCGAGTGAACAGAGGCCTCTACAATGCTTCTCAACTGATTGGACATAAGTGCCTCGATGCTGGAAAAGAAGACGCGGGTCTGTTTGAGAGGGGAACTTCGGTTCTCCGGCAGGAGGTGGGCCCAGTGATGCCGCAACTCCACGAACTTCTTCGCACAATCCGGAATCCATCTGGAAAAGGCGTTAGTACAAGTAAAAGCCCTGTCAGATCACCTCTAAGACATTCAAAACGACTCAACCAATCCAGAGGTGGCATTCACCTTTCGTCCATAGAGGTGGGATTAAATCAGTCATAATAACTCACTGCTTGCGGAGGATATCCCGCGTGGCAAAGCACTGCCGATTAATCAGGCTTTCAAAATCAGCCGGGAGCATGGGTTCTCCAATCTTCTTTATTGCATCAATATCCACAAATCGCAAATCCGCGTATCTCAAAGAGAAGCCGGAGAACATGATCGTGAGGTAGTAATAACTCCCCTAGGCCCTCATATATGCATGTCTGCGATCGTAAACACTCACTTGCTGTACCAGAGGTCGTTCAGAGCCAGACTCATGGCTGAGGGTACGAACAAGCCATAGGTGCATACTTTAATCCTTTTTTCCATCTCCCCATGCCACGGAACGGGAGATCTGATGACGAAAATCGGATAAGGAATCGGCGTCCACTGGATAAATAGGCGTAAACGCTCCTCTTGATCCAAGAGTATGTAATCCACTGTAAAACGGATGTTTGAAATGAGGAAGCCATTTGCTTCCATCAGAAAAATGCAACTGCTTCCCCTATTTTACAAGTTTTATTACTGAAGTAGGCATTGGAATGTGACCAACCCGTGGCTTTTTTGATGGCTTTTCTGTAGTCGTGGTTAATTTCCGCCAGCAGACTCTCAGTCAGTTGGCTCCAATTTCTCACTAAGTCTTCTGGAACGCTCTTCTTCAGAGCCTCCCACAGTCGTTCCGGTGGGTCGGCTATCATCTTATCTGGCACACCGTTCTCTATGTAGTAGACGTATCGCTACAGGGCAAACATCAACATTAGGTGTACATAACATCGAGCGGTCTGCTTGCCCTCTCCACCACTTAGAGCCACTACTCGCCGGTTCAATTTCAACGGATTTGGTAGAATGCTCTTCAAAACTGTAACTAATAGTTTTCCTTAATTTTACACTAAATTGGCATATTGATGGGGATTTATAAATGGATCATGGATACGCTTCATCACCCTCCGAAGCACACTCAAATGTTGGGTAACAAAGTCAAGTGTTGGAGGAACCACGGATCCGAAAGGTATCTTTTCTTGAGGAACCTACATCAGCAACTAATGAATTCGTCGAGTTCACTCCCCCTCCCCCCAAAAAAAGTATGCCATGACACTGAGGTTATGGCCTAGCGGGAACACAAACACTTTGAAGCAGTGGGTGATGGGGTGATCCTCCGTATTTGACTTTCCCATACAATTGGCCAACGAAACAAATCAAAGCTGGGAAAAATCTTATTTTGTTTATTTTGGCAAAGAATTTTTTGTAAAATTCCATATTTTTGTCGATGTTTGCGGAATTTTAGTCTAATTCATTTGCATTTATTTAGAGGTCCACATTTGACTTGCAAGAAAAGTTGCCAAAGATTGGGAAAAAAGTATCTTTACTTCTACTACAGTAAAATTACACCTTAATTTGACATTTAAAGTTGGTAAAGAGTAGAAATAGTAAAAAAGCCAGTTATTTTGTCTCAGCTTTTCTGAAAAAAGGTAGGCCGGAAATCAAAATAAACCGTGCTTTAAAAAAGAAATAGTGAAAATTTTCGACTAAATAATTTTCTTTAGGAAAATTACCGATAAATTTTATCATCGCCATGTACAAACTCTCCAGAAACAAATGCTTTATTTTAATCTTAGACACGCCTCTGTTCTCACCGCAATGTCGCGATCCGAGGGCCTCCCGGTGAGTCGACGAAACTCCTTATCCCGAGCCTTCATTTCGTTCATCTGCGACAGGGGCGACCTCGGTCGGTCCGCCGCTGTCTCGCTGTAGATAAAATAAATGAAAGAATAGGCATATTCTAGACTGCAAAGTTGTTGCTTGATTACTCTGTTTTTTAAATTTTTCTACTGTGCGAACACTCAAATCTAGTTCTAAAGACTCGTTTATAGTAATGCTCGTGATCAAATCGTAATGCACATCAACTAACGATAGGCATGTGATTTTTCTGCGAACAGAACCAAGAAGTCTGTGAGCGCTACCTCAATAAGTGTGTGCGCGGCTCTGCAAGCGGTGTTTAAGTAAACATTAGCAGTTTAACCCTTCGGGATGCACTCGAGTTGCATTTCCTCCTGGCATTGAGCAAAATAATAAACAGATGCAGATTAATGATGGAACTTTTGTGTGGTGGGACTGGAAGCGCTACTCTTAAATCTGTTAGTGAGGTTAATCCAACTTGTATCCACAAAGGTAGTGGGAAAGCACTTTAACATTCCATCAATCAATCATACCCACGATCAGAAAGCTTCCTCTGTAAGCCTAGAGAAACGCGTGGTAGCCTTTCTTAAAAATGACTTCGATTCATGTCTGTAAAGAGACCTCATTCTGAAACATCTTTTGTTATTTTAAAATCACCAAAACAACTTGAAAGCTGGGCATCACGGTGACAATCTTAGTCAAATTAGGGAAAGGTGAAAGGGTTGGTTTCAAAAAATTAGGAACTCGCATTTACAAATATACGGAAACCCTTCAAAAAACCCGGTAAAACTTACTGTTCCAAACTTTTCCGTGACTTCCTCTTTTCAACATTCCTGTGGTTTAAAGCGCCACTTTATAATGACAATTAAGAATGAAACTTCCTATTCGTTAACGATGATTACTGGCACAACCAAATATTGTAAAGTATTCCCGGTGGTAAAAATGTTTATGGACTAGTTTTAAGCTGAGAAGATTAGTATTTAGTTGTAAGCTCTTAAAATGCGTGAACTTGTGGCGTCTGCAGTACCAATTGCAAAGAAACAAACAGAAAGTTCTAGTATTTCACTTTACACCTATGAGAGAATGCTCACAAATCTATTAGACAAACTTAATGTTGTGAACTTCAGCCGACACATAAAATTGCTGTTTTACAACTTTGCGCTACACTTTAAATCAGTTTACAAAGCAATCCTTTCATTGTTTCAAAAATAGTTGTGAATAAAAATGGTAGAATGTCGAATTTCAAGAAAATAAAGTAGAAGAGCCTATTTTTATTTAAAGACTACCTACAAATAATAATTTTCTCCAGTCTTGAGTCGCTTGCTTTTTGAGACGCCAGCAAACTCTGGCAATCGAGACTGTGGTGGCAGACGATCGAGTTGAAGCTTTGCAGCCGCTGGTGAGTAGTTGCTCCCAATGGACTGACTCGGAGGTCGATGAAACTTTTGATCTTTGAATGGTGCTGCTCGCGTCAGAGTGAATTGGGCAATCAATGGAGGATGGTCGGCATTTTTGTTCACAATCTTTATTTAAAATTGAAGTGATTTATTTATTTAAAACAAGTCTTCGAGTTTATAGTCGGCGAAAACTATGTAATTTAGATTAAAATCAGTTGAAGCACCAAAAGCATAGGGATGTCAAGTATTCACAAAGCATTTTACGTGAAAACTGTATTTTACAATTTTGCACCAGGTCAAAACCCAGCAGCGTCACAACAGTACCGACAAAGTATTCAGAGTGACTGATTTCTGTATCCCAGATTCAACAAAATAACATTAAAATACTTACGGCAAATAGAGAAGATGGGGCTTCCGGTTTTGCGGGTAATGGAAGTGATGGTAAATATTTGGTAAAACTACTGCTGTAATCAGGTTCTGGAAGTCGCTAGAACAAACACTTTAATGCAAAGCGTGTGATAGGTACCTGCATGACATGTTCAAATTTCCTCAGTGGGAATAGTTTTTCGAAAAGCTACAAGATCATTAAAATCAAGATGCTACAACCTCTTGCTTTCCACCTTGTGTCATTGCTCTAATTCAGTAGATCTTTTTATCCTATGATTTCCCAACATGTACGTCAGAAGCAAGCCTAAAATCCAGACACATGATGATATTAAAGGTTATTTACAGATATATACAGGCTAAAATATGGAAAACCTAGTGTTAATTCGGCACTCGTGGGTAAATTAATAAAGAGTGTACCTATTAACCCCTACTTAGCCAATAATCATGGGAACTATCGATATTCCTACACAAATTCTGAAAGTGCGCAGTTTTTCAAGGTCGTATGTTACCAATATTCTATATGAAAAAATAATGCGTATTCCTAACATTTACGGCATACAAAAGTCCAAAATCTACTAGTTGATGGATTCAGTGTCAAGGAGAGTGCATTGGTCTTACACCTAAAATAGGAATAATAAAAGGCCCTTTTGTTCGAATTTTGTGACTGTGAATCGCTTACCCCATATAAAGGCACCTAAGTTTCCACCAAGTTGAACTACCAGAATTGCATAAGACATCCTTGAAAGTCTTTTATTCTGCGAATAAATGAGAAATTTTGTGCACTTGTTTATGGGAAGGCGCATGGTAACCACCTAGAACATTCCAAAACTATGCGCACCCATAGGCTGGTTCACTGAACTTATTCACAGAGGCCCACCCAAATACTTAAAGCTTGGTCTTCCTAACTACCTCGTAGGCACAGGCAGGACATGAGGCCCACCTCCTTTCGGCAACGGAGTCCCCTTCAGGAGAACGTACCCGACGGCGCGAAACCCCCCCGCCGCAAGCATCAGTTTTGGGTAGCACAATCCATAGCTAGCCCTCCTTCTCTCCCTTGCAGGCTTAGCAAGCACCAACACACAACATGTACCCATTAAGCACCACCAGATTTCAAAAACGAGTCGCCATTAGAGAATAAACCAGCGTGTCCAGCCACCCACCTACGTAGGATCGTTGCCCTATGGACAGATACGCAACGACATAAAGTACAACTTTAAACACACGTACACCAAATTCAGCCAATGGCTAAACACATCAAACGCTGGAATTCCCCACCCTTCCCCTAGGAAATAAAACAATTGCGTAAAAATCCTTGTAGTAAATAAGCAGCATCATTCGAAGAGTGCGTTTGAAATTGACTGTTTCAGGAAAGCGATATAAATGATACAATTAAACCATGACAATCACTGATTAAAAAACCACATGCACTCTTGAAATTCATTGGGCTTATTTTAAAGTAGCAAAGAGTTTGGGGCCAACGCACTTATCCACACATTGGACCAGATCGATGAATTCCTCTTCGCAGCTCTCCCTTGTCTTTGGCTGACGATCAGAACAGGCCTCAAATAATTTGACAAACTTAGCGCATTCTTTGGTTTCACGGCATTTTCGTCGAAGTTCGTGCTATAGCAAAAATAGTGTATTGGAATGGAGAACTTACGATCGGATCGATAACAGTATCACCTGTATCCATCAAGCCTGGAAATGGACAAATAAAACAGTTCCCCTAAGGTGGTCTGGTGTTTATATATCAACATAATTAATTGTGCAATAAAACTCAGATGCACCTTATAGAGCCAAAGTGGATCCAACCGAGCAAAAATGAACCTCTTTTCAGGAGTAAGAACAATGCAATTTCGAGTAACAATTCTTGGGAAATATTGGGGACGACGAAAGGACAAATACCATGCAAAGCTACCAGAGTATTATACACCACATGTGCTAACTTTCAATATATTATGAACAAAGTAGGGAAAAATGAGCAGAGCGGTGACTATAGCCTAAAACTCAGTGAAGGGTTAAAATCGTCCCAACTCATACCAGTACTTCGAATGGCTGCCCATGCGCACGATGCATACAAAGTTCGTGCAATTTCAGATATTATCTTGACGTAAGCATTTAACAAGAAGCCCTCATAATTATGTTAAACCTAAAATAGGCAATAAATTACTTTTTTTGGACTTTGAAATTTGTTTATTCATTTATTTAGGAGTTGTCCGACATCTTCTGTCAGTGCTTTACGGCATCTCATTAATTTGCATCCAGATAATGCCTACATTTAGGAGGATTTGGCCTTAAAAGGCTGCATAGGTATTTCATAAGACATGCAATTATGCTCAAACAAGTATGGCCCAGTTAATTGCCATGCTTGTTTATTGGAGTGACTGCCTGATAATATGCAGGAAAATCGAATGTCAGCAACTTTACAATAATATTACCTGTTTGGTAGGGTCTTAGAGCCCGACTTCCCCCCAAAAAGGGCATAAGCTCACTGGTATGAAAGATTTTTGCTGACGAATATAATGTCGAGAAGCCATGCTAACAAGTGGAAAAAAGCGCCTACTCAAGAGCCTTTGAAGTTTAACAGTCATGAAACCCCTCTTTACTTGCTACGGCAACGACCTTGCCATTTCCATGAACGGAACACCTTTGTTTAACACAAAAATGGTAAAAAGTAATAAAATCCCCTTTGTAGTAAGGTTGCTTATGTTGAACAGACTTTTTCCATGCCTCTCATCTCTAGGCACATTGCTTACATCTAGTGAACGGACAGTGTCAGTTAAGCGTGTATTTTGGAATTTAGGAAGAGAAAAGTATGGGAAGCGTTAACGAAAGGTGGAATTCTGTATTTTGCATCATTTTGATCTCTCTAAACTACTCATCTCCCAAAGGTATTCAGGGTCATGTTAGTCATGCCACCTAAACTGACCTAAGAGTCGTTGAGATGTTGCTGAGGGAAATATGTCAATGGCACTGCTATACGGATCATTTCCATAGATACTTTGTCCACTTCTAAGCAAAGAACAACCACAAAACACTACACTAATCATTCAACACTTTCCTAGTCAAACACTGCTACTTAAATCAAACAATGATCTTGTTATTACTAAAATGTGCTGCTATTCCAAATACGTTGTGAGGTAAAGTTTTATTTAAATACCTGTATCCGTAATTCCGGAATTTTACCTTAGATGACTGCTGTTTTCGGTTTTAGCACCTTACAGCAGCTCATGAATTGTCGAAATTTCCACAAATGTGCTGTCACACAAAAGCTGTTCAAATGCGTGCGATTTTTTGTTTTACGTAAAATAGCCAAAAAATATTAACTCTGGTTTGTAGCAATTCGATGTCGGAAGTGAATTTACCAAGCCACATCCCCATCGACTTCTGTTGCCGTATCCTCGCCGTAGAAGACGCGTGGCTTTGGTCCACTTCATGGAAGAGACCTCATTTTTGAAATGCTTGAATACTACGTGTTGAATGCCTCGCCGTAAGTCAATCGCGTCACGTATTTTCGACCAACGAATCTCGGAATTATGAAGAGGCATTAGCGTTAAACTGGGTTGTTCTAAACACTAAGACTGACCTTTCAAAATATGGTGATAAAAATAATCGAGCATTCCTGGTCTGCAAGTAGACAAATCCTAGCTTGTTACTTCATATAGTTGGTTTTCAATTAGCTCATGCCACCGCTTAATGATGTGATGTGGGTCACGAGAACGCTTTACCGTAAACCTTATATGATAAGTTTATATCCGCAGTCTTCGCAGGTTCCACTCCTGCACGACGGTACAACTATCATCTGCCCGTGCCCATAGCCTCCCAGTCTGCGTCACGTGAATAGTAAGTCTAGCTCCACTATGGTATGGCTTATATTGAATTCAATGGGGGCTGTGGGCGCTTTAGCCACCTCAAGTTAGGCCTTTTTAGTGAAAAAATGCTTTGACAACTTCTGAGCAAAGGACACCTTCTCGGGGCACATTGTTTTTGTGCCTCACAGGTGTTAAAAAAAAGAATGCCATTACAAAGGTCCACGCAATCAGATGGCGCCACCTTAAGCTAGCACTTCATTCCGTCTCTTAGCCTTACTCGTAGGCTGATAATATTAAGCTTTTAAAGTATGTCAAGTACTTAATCTGATCAAGGCATATCGACACCCTCGTTGTAGGTGAAATGACCACCTTCAGTTGCATCAATTTCAGTTTAAGTCTCAAGTTGATTTTCATTATTCTAGCACATTAGTAGAATCGGTAGTTTGCTTTTAACCACTTAGCTTAAAATCTCACTTGATGGTGCCCCTAGATGCAGAATCTTTCACTGGAGCCCTCCGTGTAATGCCATGAAAACTGTGTGTGACGCTCCACTCCATAACATGCGTTATCCTTCAATAATTCAAAAAAGACTTATGCTCATATTTTTTTCCTAGTATGAATAATTACACCAAATCAGGCAATTGTAGATCTGGATAAGCCGTGATTAACCGCCTAAATTACGCAAATATTTAGGAAAAGTCGGGCTAGTCGAACCTTGTTTTAAATGGCATCTAAGAAGTGACGCTAGGAATTAAACATCACAATTTCTTAGCAGGAAGGATCTTTTCTTCTTCGTGACAATTTATGCATTAGGCTCTTTATTTCACTAGTTCAAAAAGTACCCCTAAAGTGAAGCCCCTTCCTTGCACTTAGAGGTCGGTTAGTTTACTACGGCCCAGTCGCTCGGTGTAGCGCGCTTGAGCGGCGAAGTATCGATCGGTTTTGGGCGATGCGGCGGATAGGCAATACCTCGCCCACTGCCGACCGGTCAGCGTCAAACTCGGGGGTCTTGAGCACGATAAGGACAAGTACTGACTTATAACCTCCGCCTGGGTGTTTCTAAAGTCTGGTGTTTGGTGTAATTGTGATAATGCGGGTTCGTTTCACCTCAATTGGGATGCCTTCCAGTTATTAGTAGGCGTCTTTAAACACTGTAATGTGAGAGAACAGTCTTCTGGATCGTAGATTAAAATGTTGCGTTTAAGAGTACCTAAATGAGGTAATTTTCGTGCACTAAGAGCTAATTGTTTAAATGATGATTTATGCAAAGGTGGTCTCTTTTGTTTGTAATCGAGGTGTAGACAGACATCCTTTTCAATCGCGTGAATTTTGCTTTTTTCTTTGTTCTTTTTTAATTACTTGGTGACAAATTCTTCTTTTGAGCTAGTCTAACTTCCTTCTAACTTTTTACTACATGTTAAGGTCGCAAAACAGGTGAGGTGAACTCTTCTAAATGGGGGATTTGTACCTCATAGGAAAGTCCTTTTTTGGAGACCTCACAGTTTAAACATTCGACTACAACTTGATGTGTGAACTCGAAGGTAGGCAAACACCGGTGAAATCAAATTTTGCTGATTGGGAAGGTGGGGCGTCATTCAGCAATCTCTGCAGCTTTTGAGACCATGCTTTTTTAAGTGTAAAAGGTAGGTTTGGTACATCGCACAGATACGTCTTTGTGCAGACATGCCCGTCACACTCCACTCCCTCAGGATTTGAAACGCCACTTTTCATGGTAATCTAGCACTGCTGTCAATGCCTGAACGCCTAATTCGCAAAAAGTTTAAATGACACCTCTTTCATTTATCATTAAGTCATGCTGACGTTTTTCGAAAATACTAGACACCCTTAGGCAGTTTTTCTTGTTCCTTTACCAATTTTGCGAATGTTAAAGAGAATCACAGCCTGCCCAAAATTTGCAAATTCTCTAGAGAGGTAACTTGCGTACAATGGTTGCCAAACAAAAGAGGAGAGCTGCACACCTTTCGAAGGCTTATACGATTAGCACTTCAAAATTTGTGCGACAAGGTAGATGGTGACAGAGTGAATCGTCGTATTTTTTCCTATATGTATGCATGTGAGGTCATGTGCTGTAGTTTACAGGCTGTAGGTAGTGTTAAAAAGTCTCCTACAGCCTCTCACATCATTTTCTTTGCATTTTTGACATTGCTGTTGACACTCCAAATTGTCATTGTCATGCACTGTAGCGGTTATCCAACAGTACTGCGCCTCATTTCCCACCAGGTATATATTAAAACAGCTTCAGCAAAAACAATGAGCAGGTTTGATTAGGCAAGTTTACGCAACCATAGCTGCTGTTGCCAGTCCTATGAGCTGGCATAGTTAATAGCTAGCAAAACCCACACATTCCTCCTACTCCTCGCATTAAAAAAATATTTGCCTTACCGTACCACACCAGTCGAGATGATTGCGCTTCGTCGGCCACCGTGCTCTGTGTCACTCTCCGCTCCCTGCGGCAAGGCGGGGCAGGGGTGAGGCTCGAGTGAGCAGAGCTCCTGGTGAGGCGAGGAATCGATAGTGCACCGCGTCGCCTGTGCGTCACTCGGTGGATCGATACTCACCTTGACAGGCATTCCGACGCGCCGAGTTACCTGTGCTTGGCATCACGGCTGCTGTTGCTGCCACGTCGACTGTGTATGGATGTCAGCATGGTAATTGTGACCACACAGGCACATCACTCACACCTGACCCCGACGATGATGAACCGCTGGGTCGCAGATGCTAGACGTATGTGCATCCCAAATTTCGCGTAGCCGTAGCCAGCTTCGCTTTCGCGTGGCAAGATCTTCAGGTAATGCTTCAATCTATGCCAGGCGATCCGGTATGCATCATTCTGACGTGCAACCCTTACAGTTTGTTATTCGCCTTAAAGGCAGAGCATGATACACCACAAAGGTGCGCAATCATTTGACACACTCAACTTCCATGATTTAGCATTTAAATAAACAAATGCATCGTTTCTAGCTCAGATAAAAAGCCTCACTATAAAGCCCAATGAAACACGAGAATGTTTGGTTCACTAGGTCATATACAACTTCCGGATAACTGAATATTCAGCACTGTCGAAAACCCAGTTACTTTGATAGATGTCATGGCCAGATTTAAAACATTCATGATTATTTATATTTCAGTAGATGGCGCATAAAAATATGGAATTTGTTTTGTCTGTTCTGTTACTGTGATAAAAGCACTCCAGCTGACAAGTTAGAAGGTGTCCATTACGTTTCTTCGAGCACCAAAAGACACACCAGAGGCAGTGGCGCCA